CAAAACACCTGGATGGGCCCAAGCTTGCAGTCCCAAACAGTAACAGTTGTGTCAGGGACACTTATTTTGAGTGCTCTTTACTGTTAAGGCCCCTGCTTCTAGTCCAGGGAAGAGATGCTCTTTTGCATTTTTGGCATGCTCACCTGTTCTTCCAACTGGCCATGTTTATGGCAGGCAACACCATGGAAGTCACAGCAAACAAGACTGACATATAAGATTGTGAAGCCGCCAGGTAGAGAGAAGCAACTCTTAATCCCCATATTTATTCAGAACGTTTCTTCTGTTCCGCGTTTCCACAGTTGCTCAAGGTATTTGCTCAAGCGTTGCACAAGTATCACAGGGATTCTTTCACCGCAAAGCCTAACCAGCTCAGGCATCGCACCCAGTCGGTTAGTTGCACCCTCTCCAAAGGTCTTGGATACATACACAAACAAACACACACAAATTGCACTGGCAACACTAGGCATGTTCATACAATGCTCTGCCTCAATGCAGACATGGCACCAAATCCATCATTCACACCAACCGTGGTTTTGAAAATAACCCCAGGCAGGTTTCCAACTTGCAAAGGTATGACAGGCCAATCAGGGTCAATTCGATGACCTGTCTGCTCTCATCTTTTTTTTTTTCTTGGCAACATTCAGTTCCTTACATTCATCTTTGTTTTCATGGTGGCAGAATGATGTCCAAAACTTGATCTTGCTAAATCAGACACTGTTTCCAACTATAGTTAGCAGAAACTGTGGTTTACAAACTCTCTTTTTGTGTATTGTCAAAAACCCCCACACACAGATAGAGATATCTACATAAAAACTCCAACCATCCCCCAAGTCAGCCATAGCAGAGCACCTGATGAACCAACCTGGACACAGCATATTATTTGAGAACACAGAAATCCTGGATGTCCGAATGCATCTCCCTCTACGTCCCACCTCGGAGTTTGAGATCATCTGGGGAGGCCCTGCTCTCAACCCCACCGCTATCACAAGTGAGGTTGGTGGGGACGAGGAGCAGGGCCTTCTCAGTGGTGGCCCCTCACCTGTGGAACTCACTCCCTGGGGAAATTAGGTCATCAACATCCCTCCTCTCCTTCAGGAGGAAATTAAAAACGTGGTTGTGGGACCAGGCCTTTGGGCAATCTGACAACTAGATAAAGACAATTGGACGACTAGGACTGACAAAGTGGAATTGGAATTTGGACTATGAGATGGCGAACGCTGAGCGTTAATTAGGTGAAATCGGTTTTATTGGTTTTATTGGTTTTATTGTTGCAGTGCAGAAACTGATTGTTAATTGTTTAATTGCTGCTATATTGTTTTTATTCTACTGTTATGTTGATGCCGGCATCGAATTGTGCCTTTGTAAGCCGCCCTGAGTCCCCCTCTGGGGTGAGAAGGGCGGGGTAGAAGTAACAGAAATAAATAAAAAATAAATAAACAACCACCATGTCAGACTACACAGAGAAGCCATTGAAATCCACAAGCATGTGGACAATTTCAACAGAAAGGAGGAAACCATGAAAATGAACAAAATCTGGCTACCAGTACTAAAAAAACTCTAAAATTAGAACAGCACAACAACAGAGAGGAAACAAACAAGGACATCTAATCACCTCTCAACAAAAGATTGCTCCAGGCACTGCCAGGCAATCAAATGCTAATCACGGTGGTCAGTTGAAACATTCACACCTAGCTCCAGCAGACAAGAGTCCTTTGTCCCACCCTGGTCATTCCACAGATATATAAACCCTTTTCCTAGTTCCAACAGACCTCACTACTTCTGAGGATGCTTGCCATAGATGCAGGCGAAACGTCAGGAGAAAAATTGCCTCTAGAACATGGCCATATAGCCCGAAAAAACCTACAACAACCCAGTCTCTTTTTGTGGTATGACGTGTTGACTTTTCAATGAATAGTTCTCTGAATTCCACTCACAATGCCACTTTTGTTTTGCCAACCAATCTCAGGGCGCTTCCAGACAGCACTGAATCATGGATTTTAAGCAGGGGCAAAAAAATCCCGGGACTTCAGAAGAGGGCCACATACAGACCTGTTGGTCCCGGAATTTCTGCCTCTAGACTTTCCCAGCCAGCATGCATCACTGGGAATTCTGAGAATTATCATCCCAAAAGAATAACTTTCCCAAGTCAGTCACCCACAGATCAAAGGGAACCTTGACTGGTTGTGGCTTCACATCTTGCGGTTAATATGGAATCTTTTCTGTTTTTATAGCCAATCAGGACCATGTCCACAATTAGTTAGGGACACAAATTTTATGTGGGAAGTGAAAAGTCATACCAGCTATAACTTGAAATAGGGAAGGTCTGAGAGTGCTCTGCTTTTCTCCAGGTGCTTCTACAAGTGGCGCGATCCGTCACCTGCTGATTAACTTGTGAGGCCCAAGTCTCATTTTGCTCACTTCCAAGAGTGAACTTGATCTACATTTTGCACACATGTGTGTTTCTGTGGTGTCAATGCTAATCCACACCACCCTCCCCACGGCAACGGCAGGGTCCAATTTGCACAACCCACCCCTAGCAACAGTCGCTGGGCAACACAAACTGTGGCCACCCCAGCAGCCAAGCCCACAAGCCTGTTTGTGTTTGATGTCGGGCTGTAACTAAGGTGGACCTGGCAAACCCCCAGGTTGGCTGGTGCCCCATTTGGCGGCCCTGGGCCTGGGTGGATCCTGGTAAGGCGCCAGAGGAAGAAGCATGGGGCAAGGGGAGACGGGCAGCATTTCCCAAGGGCTGCGTTCATGCCGGGTGGGAAATGGGGGCCCTGGGCAGGAGCAATCAGCTAGGGTTGGCAAGCTGGAGCTCAGAGATGCTGTGCATGCTATGCTGAGTCTGGTGGGCCTCATTGGTTGACCAGCCTTCTGTGGAAGCTTTAGTTCTGCAAGATTTACAATCGTTGATCATAATTGCTCAATCCCAGTTGTGCATTTAGAATCCCAGTGGTGCAAAAGATTAAACCAACAGGTCACGGGTTCCAATCCGGGGAGAGCGCGGATGAGCTCCCTCTGTCAGCTCCAACTCCCCATGTGGGGACATGAGAGAAGCCTCCCACAAGGAGGGTAAAACATCAAAAACATCCGGGTATCCCCTGGGCAACGTCCTTGCAGACGGCCAATTTTCTCACACCAGAGTTGACTCACAGTTTCTCAAGTCGCTCCTGACACACACACACAGACACACACAAAATAGAACTAGAGTTTAGCCACCCAAATAGAAGGAGCAGGCAACGTTAACAAAGGAATATGAACATAGCAAATCTAAGAGTTCTAGGTAATATTAAACATTTGATAGCATATTTCATGCTACTGTAACCCTTATAGTGCTATGACATTTATTATAATACTGTTATTCCTTGTTGACTGGTACAGATCCATCCCATGGAATGCTGGAATTTGCAGTTCAGTGAGGGGCATTTTGAATTCTCAGAGAACTCTAGTGATGCCCAACTCCAGGATGTCATAAAATACAGCCGTGGGAGTTTTTGGGTGGGACTGTGGGGGCAAATGTGAGAACCGATAACATTTGGATGAAGTGAGAGACCGAGAGTTCCTTTGGGGTGGGTTTCATGGGGTCTTCCTTGCCCAGGATGCACATGGGAGATGATAAAGTTTCAGGATGAAGGAGAGGGATTTGGTTCATTTTTGGATGGGTTTCAGGGGGCTCCCTTGCCCAGAATGCATATGGAAACTGATAAATCTTATTAGATATCAAAGAGAAAGATATTAGGGGCATTTTGTGGTGGGTTTCGAGGGACTTCCTTGCACAGGATGCACGTGGGAACTGATAAAGCTTCAGGAGCAATAAGAAGAGAGTGATTGGGGGGGTCATTTTGGGGGGCAAATGTGAGAACTGATAACATTTGGGGGAAGAGAGGGACAGAGAATTCCTTTGCGGTGGGTTTCGGGAGGTCTTCCTTGCCCAGGATGCACATGGGAACTGATAGAGTTTCAGGACAAAGAAGAGTGATTTGGTGCATTTTTGGATGGGTTTTGGGGGGCTCCCGTGCCCAGGATGCATATGAAAACTGATAAATCTTGTCAGATAGTAAACAGAATGATACTTGGGGCATTTTGGAATGGGTTTTGAGGGACTTCCTTGTACAGGATGCACATGGGAACTGATAAAGCTTCAGGAGCAAGAAGAAGAAAGCAATTGGGGGTCATTTTGGGGTGGGTTTTGGGGGGCAATTTGAGAACTGATAACATTTGAGGGAAGAGAGGAACAGAGAGTTCCTTTGGGGTGGGATTCAGGGGTCTTCCTTGCCCAAGATGCATATGAGAACTGATAAATCTTGTCAGATAGTAAACACAATGATACTTGGGGCATTTTGGAATGGGTTTTGAGGGACTTCCTTGTACAGAAGAGAGCGATTGGGGGTCATTTTGGGGTGGATTTTGGGGGGCAATTTGAGAACTGATAACATTTGAGGGAAGAGAGAGACAGAGAGTTCCTTTGGGGTGGGATTCAGGGGTCTTCCTTGCCCAGGATGCATATGAGAACTGATACAGCTTCAGGTGGAAGAAGAAGAGAGAGATTGGGGGCATTTTTGGATAGGTTTCATGGGACTTCTTTGTCCAGGATGCATATGGGAACTGATAAAGTTTGAAGAAGAAGGAGCGAGGCCAAAGATAATTTTGGGGTGGGTTTTGGGGGGCAAATGTGCAGCATTGAATTGTTGCCTATTTGTAAGCCACGGGGTGAGAGAGGGTGGGGCATAAATACAGAAAATAAATAAATAATAAATTACATTGGAATCATTAGTAGTGTAATGTAAAAGAGCCCAGTGTCTCACTCTTTGCAATGCTAGAAATCTAATGGCTAAATGTCTTTTGTGGGGACAGAATTGTTGTTTGGGGAGTCCATGGCCTCCTGTTGCTTCCTTTCATTACTAGTGGCATCTCCAGCCTTTCCAAAGTGTGTATATTGAAGCCCCTGCAACCTCCATTGCCTGCATCTGAGCATTTGCTGCTCCTGTTCTTTACAGAGCATCATGGCAGAGAGCGTAGACATGGCCTCATTGGAGGAGAGTTTCCGGAAATTTGCCATATATGGAGATACCAAAGCTACGGGCCAGGAAATGAATGGCAAAAACTGGGCCAAGCTGTGCAAAGATTGCAAAGTCATTGATGGCAAAGGGGTCACGGGCACTGACGTGGATATCGTCTTCAGCAAGGTGAAGTAAGTATCTACTCCTGCCCCATAGTTTACAAGAAAGGTAAGTAAAGTGGTGGTGTATCGGAATGAATCCCAGGAAAGCCCACAATCTGACTCTAAGGGCCCTTTTACACAGCCCTATATCCCGGAATATCAAGGCAGGAAATCCCTTATTATGAGTTCAAAGCATATATTGTGGAATTGTCTGCTGCTGAGCCATAATGGGTAATGTGAAAGGGAGAAAAAAGGTGGGAGACCCAGAATAAATCAAGCTCAAACTCTTCCTAGAAGCCAGATGACCCAGCTGAGGTTGTTGTATTTTGGGCATATCATGAGAAGACATGACTCCCTAGAAAAGACAATAATGCTTGCAAAGTCAGAAACCTGTAGGAAAAGAGGAAGATGGCATTACAAATGGATGCATTGATTCAAGGAAACCACATCCCTGAATCTGCGAGAAGAGCTGCGGTGGACCAATGGGTTAAACCCTTGTGCTGGCTGAGCTGCTGACTTGAAGGTCTACGGTTCGAATCCAGAATAATCCAGAATAATAAGCTCCAGCTTCTCACAGGGGGACATGAGAAGCCTCCCACAGGATAGTAACATATCCAGGTGTACCCTGGGCCACATCCTTGCAGATGGCTGATTCTCTCATACCAGAAGCGACTTGCAGTATATTCTCAATTCACTTCAGACACAATTTTTTAAAAAATTGAAAAGTATTCTGATTTTTTTTTTTAAAAAAAAACATCTTCCAGGTAACTAGACCAAATTTGACACAAATACCCAAAATCCCCAAATTCCAAATATTGGTGGGGTTGGGGAGGGGATTGATTTGGTCATTTGGGAGTTGTAGTTGCTGGGATTTATAGTTAACCTACAATCAAAGAGAACTCCACCAACGTGAAATTGAACCAAACTTGGCACACAGAACTCCCATGACCAACATAAAATACTGGGCATTGACCTTGAGTTTTGGAGTTGTAGTTCACTTACATCCAGAGAGCACTGTGGACTCAAGCAGTGATGGATCTGGACCATACTTGGCATGAATACTCAATATGCACAAATGTGAACACTGGTGGAGTTTGGGGAAAATAGAGCTTGACATTTGGGAGTTGTAGTTGCTGGGATTTATAGCTCATCTACAATCAAAGAGCATTCTGAACCCCGCCAATGATAGAATTGGGACAAACTTCCCACACAGAATCCTGTGACCAACAGAAAATACTGATATTTGGTAACCCCTCTGATGCCCCCATCGTGACCCCCCAGAGGTCCCGACCCTCAGGTTAAGAAACACTGATTTAGCATAAAGGAAAACACCACTTATTAAAAACTTGAAGTGGATTTCCAGTGAACTTGAGCTGCTCCCTTTTTTCATTCTGAGCATTTGTTGAACCCCCAGAAGGTCCTGGAGGAGGAAAATGGGCCCCCGGATCTGCCACAGTGGGTCGTGCTTGTGTTTCTGCACTAAATAATAGCTTTGCAAACAAACAAACATTCATTTCCTTGCATCAGTGCCAGCTTTAATTTGGCATCGCTGCAGATCACATCTGTGCTTCTGGGGCAACGGAGCGTATGTGGCGCGGTGGTGCTGTCCAGCTTTGATTCAGCAATATTGGCAGAGACTCTTGCACTGTTTCTCTGCTTAATGTCAGCTGCTGTTTGAGAGTTTTAGGCCTTTTGGTTTCTGGCAATGAGGCACATTGCTTCAAGCTGTCAAGAGTTTCCTTATAAAACAAAGTACTTGGGCTGAATCAGCCAAATGCCCAATCCATGAATTAGTCCCCTATTTATCTTTAAGGGAATATTTCCTTAAAAAAAAGAAGATACCCCTCTCTCAATCTAAGCAGATCTTGGAAAAGTTCCTTTTCAACGTGTACCTCCCCCAAACCTTCAGGTCAGCAGCAGCGCAAGAATTTTAACTCACTGCAGACCCACTACATAGAATTTCTATGAAAGTCGGATCAGGTACATTTTACTCCAGCCAAATATATATATTTTTTAACTTTGAATAGTGTAACGTAAAGGTGAAGGTTTTAATAATAATAATAATCATCATCATCATCTTTATTTGTACCCTGCTACCATCTCCCCAAGGGACTCAGTGCGGCTTACATGAGACCAAGCCCAAAATACATCAGTAAACAAACATCAATACACAAAACATCAATAAAACAATCAACAAATCATATACAAATCATATAAATCAGATAAACAAAAAATAAGCAATAAAACAATCGACAGTGGCATATAGACATTTAAAACCAATGGCCGGGCCAAATGTAATAGGTTAAAATTAAAAATAATGCTGATGTGAACAAGGTAGGACATAACTAGGATAGGGTTTTCAGAAATGAGGGGACACAATCAATCCTTAATCTGTGGTAAAGTGCATTTTGAGGGCATATTGCTGAGAATTTTCGTTATTCTGGAAAGGCACATTGGAACAACCATGTTTTCAGGCTGCTCCTAAAGACTGCCAGCGTTGGGGCATGTCTGATGTCCCTGGGAAGTGAATTCCAGACTCGGGGGGGCTACCACCGAGAAGGCCCTCTCCCTCGTCTCCACCAATCGCGCCTGCGAAGGAGGTGGGAGCGTGAACAGAGCCTCTCCAGATGATCGAAGAGATCGTGTAGGTTCATACACAGAAATGCGGTCACGCATGTAGGCGGGTCCCAAACAGTTCAGGGCTTTGTAGGTAAGAACCTGCACCTTGAATTGGGACCGGAAAATGAATGGCAGCCAGTGGAGCTCCTTGAACAGGAGGGTTGACTGCTCTCTGTAAGAAGCACCAGTTATTTTCCCCTGATATTAAGTCCATCTCCTTAACCTTAACCCACTCCCCAGATTCGAAACTGCGACCTTTCGATCAGCAAGTTCAGCAGCTCAGCAGTTAAACTCACTGCGCCACCGGGGGCTCCAAAGCCTAGGGAAGTGTTAATACCCCTGTGGCAACAAGGATTGGTGGTAAAGTCTCATGGAGACACCTTTTCCCCAGGACAACTCTTCCAGGAGTGGATTTCCTTTCTTAGGAGTCCATTTCTCTCACGTCCTTTTGGCTCATTTCTGTTCTTAACTATGAGTTGTATGTACGTTGGATGTCTGTAACTCTGCCAGTAATTTGTTGATACTTGTGCTTGGTTGTTTTAGCTTCACAATATGGTAACCCTAAACTTGTTCATGTCAACTTTGTCCCCATTATGAGCTCAAGCAGTGAAGGCAGGTCTTATATCCAGCCCGCCAACTCTGAACTCTGTGTTCCCCTTCCATTCCAGGGGGAAGACGGCCAGAGTCATAAACTATGAGGAGTTCAAGAGTGCCTTGGAGGATTTGGCCCCGAAGAGGTTTAAGGACAAAAGCAAGGAGGAAGCCTACGAATCTATCTGCAAACTGGTGGCAGGGAAAGAACCAGCCAATGTGGGCGTCACGGTGAGAAATGAAGTGCTTTGGGTGGGTGGTGAGCAAAGAAGGAAAGAACGCTTGCTGTGGGACTCAAATATTTGGGGGATGATCCAGAGTAAGGAGTTAGCAACACACCCCAGTTTGTTTGTCAGACAAGCAATAGCTTAGTTGAGGGTTTTGTTCTGAAGTTTTTGCAAAATGAGGAGTTTGGTTTTGGAATTTCTGCAAAATGTGGGGTTTTATTTTGGAATGGGTTTGCAAAAAAATATGGGATATCACTTTTACATTTTTGCAAAATGTGAGGTTTTGTTTTGGAATTTTTGCAAAATGTGGGATTTTGCTCTGGAAAATTTAGCAAAAAAAGTAGTATTGCATTTTAGATTTTTTTTTGAAAAAAATGTGAGGGGTTTTTATTTTTTTGTGCAAAATATATAATTTTGTTTTGGAATGTTTGCAAAAAAATGGGATTTTGTTTTGAAATTTTGCAAAATGTAAGCTCTGGGTTCAATCTGTAGAGTTCATATAAGGGAGACTTAGAAGGAAAGAAGTCTTGTTCATGCAAGACTTGAGTTATTTGGTGTAGAGGACCAGCAATCATTTCTGCTACAGATCAGCACCATATTTGTGCCCATTGACAGCAATGACTTTCTCTTTCCTGGACATTAACCAGGGATCAACAGTCAATGGCTTGGGGACCAGCCCTGGTCCGGGGGCCACCACTTTGAGTAGCACAGATGCAGTCAATAGTAGGTGATACAAGGTTGGCATACCTTCCACCTCTCCAATTTGGCAGAGTCAGTCCCAGTCAATTCCTTGCTGTACCACTTTCTCATTTTTTTTCTAAAAGGACCTGGCCACTCACCTCTCTTCCTGTTCTGCACCATCTTACTTCAGTTGCTACAAACTTAGTTCAAAGTACAAATAATTAATACAGCAGAAGGTAGAGAAGGCATCTTGCTCTTCCCAGTCGGCTCAGTGCTTAGCACACAGATTTCAGGATATCCTTCCTTAAAATAGTACTACTGGGTGTATTCCCTCTTTGTACCTTCTCCCTTCATTTTGCCTCCGTCACCCCTTCTGTCCATACTCTGCTGTTGCTCAGCCACATGTGTCCAAGTTATCTGTGAAATGCTGGAGAATATGGGTTAGGTCTGTGGTTCCCAACCTTTTTTTGACCAGGGACACTTGACCAGGGACCACTCTCCAGCATTAGTACTAAAAGGGTTACAAATCAGTTTTTCGTCAACTTAGATTCAGTTTGGTTATTTGGGGTGTGGATTCAGAAAATTGCATTGGATAAACCACATCACGTGTTCTGATACAGAACACATGCCACCCACTAGTCGCCATCTGCTCGCCCACAGAAAACTACATTTAATAATATAGAGCTGATGAGGTCTATCCAATGCAATTTTCTGACTCAGCACCCCAAGTAACCCCAGGAACAGGCCTAAAAACAAAGACATGGGTAGTCAACCTCTCTCCTCCCGACATCCCCGTTGCATTGACACTATAAGCTTTCGCAAGACCAGCCACTCTCATTGCAACAGTGTAGTAATGGTGAGGCTGAGGACCATATTTCAGTTCTTGGGGACCACTGGTGGTCCACGGACCACAGGTTGGGTAAATGAATAACATGACCCTCTGGATATTACTGGGCTGCAGCTCCCATTATCCCTCCACATTGATTTTGCAGACTGTGGGTTGATAAGAGCTGCAGATTGGTGCCATATGAGAAGTTGTGGGAACCGTCTCTCTCTTGAGATAGCAAAGTGAGGTGGAAGCTGGGTTCACAGGTCATGTTGTAGGGTATTGAAAAAAGTGTAGTTCAGACTCTACCTCTGTTCTCCTTTTCATTGGCAGAAAGCCAAGTCTGTGGGGGCCGTGGAGCGACTCACCGACACGTCCAAGTACACGGGTTCCCACAAGGAGCGCTTTGACGAGAGCGGGAAGGGCAAAGGCAAGAGCGGGCGGGAGAACATCGTGGACAACAGCGGCTATGTGGGCGCCTATAAGCACGCAGGCACTTACGACGCCAAAGTGAAGAAATAGCAGCAGCCCCTCCTGCTCATGCCTCTTTGGGGGAGAGGTCACCCTAATGGCACGCATCCTGCCTGCTCGGCCTCCTCCAGCCTCAGAGCTATTGCTGGGACAGATGCCTGCCTTCTCTCAGGCAAATGATGCCGCAGTGGTCCTCCTTGGCCATGTGCTCACTTTCCAATATTACACAAAGCCAGAGGTATATCTGCAACCCTGCCCCCAATATACAGCTCATCCAAAGCTTTATTACCTCAGTCCCCCTCCCTCTTCCACAGGCCTCTTCTGCTTCAGAAGCTTCACCCACACCACTGCTCTGTTCACTAATGCTAAAGCACTTACTCATGACAAAACAATAGTAGTTAAAGGTGCTGAGCTTCTGTCAAGGAGGTGAGATCTCCATAGCTCTTGCCCTGGGCTTTTGCAAACATCTCATTCCCTTCTGCCCAGTCCAGTAACCACTCCTTCTCTCTCGTGGCAGCTGTCTCCAGACGACTGCCCTCCAGATGTGCTGGAGTATTACCATCTCAGCTGGTTCTGCTGCTGGCTGGGTATATGAGGAGGGCGCACACCTGCAAGGTCCTCAGGTTGGAAAGGAGTTCCCATTGTGCATCACTTCTCTGCTTCTGTGCTGTTTATAAAGAAAGTGCTAATTATAATCCTTAGGCCAAGGCAACTACCCCGTGTTAAGTACCATATCTCAAGACTGCACATGTCCCTCCTCCATCTCTTAAGGAAAAACACATCTCAGTTTTCGAAAATATATTTACAAAACATAATAGATCAGTCTGTGGCAGCCTTACCCCACCAAGTGTCTTTAATTACTGTCAATAACAGCAATAGGCAATAATCAATATCCAAAGAGTACTTGTCATAATAGTTTCAAAAACAATATATGGTTCCAACAGTGGGAATGTGGCTTATATGTCATGAATGCATGTCATGTAGTTCTGAAAGTGACAGAGTAAAGTCTGAATGTCAATTACTCTAACAACGCCGAAGTCCAAATTCAATCTAGGTAGCAACAAATGAGATTCTTCCACATAACTGCTGTCCCTATCCTTGCCGTAGACAGCAAGGCACATATACCATAATATCTGTATAGATCAGTGATTCTCAACCTGGGGGTCACGACCCCCAGGGGGGTCTCTTGGCCATTTTTGAGGGGTCATGAGGCTGCCTCCTTTGGCACCACCCCCTCCTCAAAATGGCTCCCCGGCAGGGCCCAGGCCTGTATAGATGATGTTTTAAAGTTTTGAGTAAAGAAGCTCTTAACCCCAGATAAGAAAACCAGTCACAGAATTATGCAAGGAGCCCTATGGACCATCGTCTCCAGTTCCCTGCTCAGTGCAGGATCTCTTGCAAGAACATCCCAAGCAGGCAGCTGTCTAGCCTCATTTTGAAGACATCCAGAAGACCCACCACTTCCCCAGTCAATTACCAAACTGATATTACAGTCCAGAGTTCCCATCTAATGTTCGATCCAAATCCACCCTCCTGTGACTTCAAACCATTAGACCTAGTTCCATCCCTTGAGGCAAAAGAGAACAAACCTGCATCCTCCTCTTTGTGGCATCCCTTAGGCCCTCAACCTTTCCTTCATGAAGAGTATTTCCAGTTCCTTCATTTTGTCATATCTTTTGTTCTCCATACCTTTTATCATCTTCGTTGTCCTCCTCTGAACTTGTCTATATGTTTGTTAAAGTGAAATTCACGGAACTAAAGTCAGTACGGGCAGTTCCCGAGTTATAAACATCCAACTTACTAATGACTCCTAGTTAAGAATGGGGGTGAGGCAACAGGAAATGAGAGAAATCTACACCTTGGAAGAGAAATCCACTCCTGAAAGTGTTATTTTCATGAGGAAAGGGGTCTCCACTGAAACTTTATCATCAGTTCTTGTTTCCGCAATAAGCCAATTTTTCCAAAATCCAATTGTCACGGGGACAGAAAGTAGGGTGAAATCTTTTGAACAGAAACACAGACAGCAAAACAAACAGGAGTGTTGACCCCTATGCTCTCCAAAGCTATCTGTCTGTCTGGTTGGAGTTACACTTAAAATGTACCTGTTCCAATTTACATACAAATTCAGCTTAAGAACAAACCTTTATTCATAACTTGTGGACTGCTTGTACTCCGAATCTGCACAGAATATAGTGAGAGTATTACTTTTTGTGACTTGGAAACTATGATTCTATTAATGTGGATTAAAACAGTGCTTGCCTTCTTTGCTATAGCATCACACCGGTGCCTAAAATACAATTTATGGTCAATGATAATCCAAGGTCCTTCTCATGCGTAGTACTACTGAACCATGCATTCTCCCATGCTTTGTGTATTTAGTTTTTGTGACTTGAATGTAAAACTTTGCATAAGTTTCACCGAATTTTGTTTTACAAATTTCAACCCATTTTCCAAGCATATTAAGCACATTGTCTCCTTAATCACATTGATTGCATGTCAACCTTTTCAGAGTTAAACATTTAAAATTATGAACTTAGAGGAGTGAACCTGTATGCTTTACGTTTTTATATATCAGCGTTTCTCAACCTGGGGAGTGTTGGAGGGGTCACCAAAGACCATCAGAAAATACAGTATTTTCTGTTGGTCATGATGGTTCTGTGTGGTATGTTTGGACCAATTCTATTGTTGGGGGGTAGATTGTAGGTGAACTATACATCCCAGCAACAACAAATTCCAAATGTCAGAGTTTATTTTCCTCAGACTCCACCAATGTTCACATTTGGGCATATTGAGGATCTGTGGTTTTTTATTTTTTTTATTTTAAAACATTTATACCCCACCCTTCCCACCCCAGTGGGGGACTCAGGGTGGCTTACAATACACGGCATACAAAGCCGCATTACACATATAATAATAAACATAATATATGAATTTAAACAATTAACATATCAATTTAAACATACAATAATAAACATGAGATAATAATTTGAATATAAATACAATAACAAGCTTAGAAGTAATTCAAATAGAAATACAATAAAAAAGCTTAAAAGTAAACATACAATAATTCAAATATAAATACAAAAAAAGAGCTTAAAAGTAAACATTGAATCCCAACCAAAGTGGGCTGATGGAAAAAGTGGTCTGAAGCAACAGGAGAGGCAGGGGAACCCCAAAAACGAGCACCCGCACAGGTGTTAGAATGTCCAAATGATGGGCAGCGTGGCAATGGAGGCACCTGGCGCAGGTATTCCGCCATTAAAGTAGCAGCGCAGCAAGGTTGCGGGGGCCATGTTGGCTGGAATGAGGGTGTGGCTGCAGGTCTCCTCGTGGGTAAGCCCAGGGCTGAGCAGGCAGCAAAGCTGGATGGCAATACTCAGGCCCCAGGGTCCCTCTTGCAGCAGAGCCCAACCGTGCCAAGTTTGGTCCAGATCCATCATTGTTTGAGTCCATGGCACTCTCTGGATGTAGGTGAACTACAACTCCAAAACTCAAGGTCAATGCCCACCAAACCCTTCCAGTATTTTCTCTTGGTCATGGGAGTTCTGTGTGCCAAAATTGGTTCAATGCCATCGTTGGTGGGGTTCAGAATACTCTTTGATTGTAGATTATCTATAAATCCCAGCAACTACAACTTCAAAATGACAAAATCACTCACCCCAACCCCACCAGTATTCAGATTTAGGTGTATCGGGTATTTGTGCCAAATTTGGTCCAGTGAATGAGAATACATCCTGCATGTCAGATATTTACATTATGATTCAGAACAGTAGCAAAATTACAGCTCTGAAGTAGCAACAAAATAATATTATGGTTGGGGGTCACCACAACATGAGGAACTGTATTAAGGGATCGCGGCATTAGTGTGCCGTTGCTGCCTGGGGAACTATAGTTCTTAGTGAAAAAGCAAGGACATGGGAACTTTTCCCCAGGGGATTGCTTCTTGCCTTCCTTTAGAGAACTAGAACTCTCGAGGATCAACAAGACACTATAGATAACTTGAAATAGGCTTTATTGTTTACAGAGAGTTATTTTTCTGAGGCATTAAACTTGATGTTCCAAAAAGGGTGTAAAATACATTACGGTCTCTGGTTGTCTTGGGTCCTAGGAGTTTTCCAGCTGAGTAGCTTCCAAGTTCCCTCTTTCTCAATGGCTATGAGGTCAAAACACTCCAAACCCCAGTCCAATGGCCTATATTGAAGGCACAAAGTCTTCCTCTTGATGCCAAAAGACTGGTTTGAAGGCGCTTAAGATTCCTCAATGTCGTCCAGATGAGCTGGGCATGAAGTATGAATCCTAAGGGTATAAACTTGAGAATTGGTGGTAAGAAATGACTTGACCAAGGGCTTTGAGCCAAGCCTTTCGCACATCCATCTGTTGAGCTTTTGGTGGTAAGAATGAAAACAAAAGTGTTGTTTTTCTCTATAAGAAGGGGTGGAGCCAAACAATTGAGCTGGGGGAGCAAGCCAACTGATGTAAAACAACATTGATTGACAGCTGTAGATAACCAATCAATTCAACTATACATTTACAAGGTAACCAGGCAAGTCTGGACATGTTACAACAGTTCAAACCTTTGCAACTTAAAGTTTTACATACAGGTGGCGCCAGTTGCGCCGTCACAATTAGGAAGGTTGAGAAACACTGTTATATAGGATGTCTACTTGATAGTTCGAAACTTGCCTTTTCTTTTAAATGGAATCACTGGATTCCATTTTTTGTAAAAGCCCCTCATAAAGACATAAATATGTGCGTTACATTGTCTATAAAAATGAACAATACACAAATTTTACAAGGACACATGATTAAGGAAACAGAAATCAATATTTTCATTGGGTATTTAAGCACAACCCAAACATAGTAAAATATCCTTCCTGTATGCCAACCCGACATGTCATGAATTTTAACAGACTTTTCTGTTTCAAAAACGAAGCAACACTGACACCTACACACCAGTTAGGGAGGAAAAAGTGGAACGACTGCACTCTGTGTGGTTGTTGTGTTGTGTTGTGTTTTTTTTTTGCTAGCAGTGCTAGATGCCCTAAGTTGGACCATAACAACTGACCAAGAACTACTGTTTCCCTAAAATAAAATAAGGTCTTTTTGGCTCCAAAAGATGTCGTATTTTTCCAATTTCAGGGATGTCTTGTTTTTCCAAATTGACTTTTTAAATGAACTGTAACTAGGGCTTGTTTTTAAAGTAGGGCTCACATTTCAAGCATCAAAAATTATGCTAGGGCTTATTTTGGGGGGTAGCTCTTATTTCTGGGGAAACAGGGTACTAATGCTCAGTATAGACAGAACTTCCTTAACCCAGTGCTCTCCGGGTGCATTGGACTATATTTTCCATTATTTGACCAGCATAGTCTTGATATCGAGCTCTTTTGGGGGGTCCCTCCGGGGGGGGAGCCCTAGGACTACACCAAAGAGAGTCCTGGATACCTTGGTGAGATTTTCCGGAAGCCAATCCAAGAGCGCAGGAATATTTTAAAATATAATCAGCTCACCAGAGGCGGAAGAAGTCCAGCGATCGAGGTTTATTTGCGATTCAGCTGAGTCGGATGCAATTGTAGGGATAGTTCCTCTACAAGCATACTGATACAAAGTTTTCAGGCATTTTTATACAGTACAGGACAAAAGAAAGCAGTTTGAAACTCCCGCCGCCCCTTGCCGGCCGGCTTGACGCTGATTGGCTGGGGCTGGAACAGCTGGGAGGAGGCTTGGCGGCCCGCCTCTGCTTCCAGCCAATCAGAGCGTTCCTGCGCCTCGGGAGGGCCAATGGGCGCCCTCTGCTCGCTTCTGAGTTTGGACCAATCAGGAGCGCGGAGGCGGGACGGC